CCCCCCCCCCTTTCCCTCTCTCGTGCACATACCCCCCACCTCGTCCTCGCCGCCGCTAACGCCTACACCGTCGCCAACTCCCGCGTGTGTGCTCGCTTATGGCAAGGTGGAAGAGCTGGACACTAAGGTTAGGGCCGCCGACTCGGCCCTCAAGGAACGCGAGGACGAGTTCGCGAAGACGGTGGGCGAGAGGGAGCAGGTGGCTGCCGCGGAGAAGTCGGCGAAGGAGGACCTGGAGGTGAAGGTGAGGAACGACGACGGGTGATTGTGTGCGTGTGCGTGCACGGTAAGTACGCTGACGACGACGCCCGGGAAGGAATTAAGTACTGGCAGACGTGCGCCACCATCATCCTGACGGACGCTGACGCGAGATGTGAGACACGAGCCGGGGGACCCCCTCCTCGTAGACCCCCCCCCCCCCCCCCCTCAAAAGGATGGTGAGCGTTAATAAATTGTTGACCGTTTTTAGTGTTTTAATGTGTTGATTTATTCCCCCATTTTGATTGTACCCGCGTAGCACACGTTTGATTGGGCTCATTAAGCGGTGTAAACGGGCCGGAGGGGTGCGGGGAAATGTCGCCGCCCCGTGGTAGAGCAACGCTGTAGGGGGGTGCCGTGAAGCAGAATGCCGTCCGTGGCACAGGGGGTGCTAGCGTTTTTTTCAGCACAAAACGAGCAGGAGGAAGTAGTTGTAACAACGCAGATGGGGGTAACGCGACTTGTGAAGGAAGTGCTTTTCGTCCGACACGCGTACCACACACACAAGCACTTCACTTCATGTGTGCTGAAAAAATGCAAACAGCGATAAGGCATGTACACACAAACGTCGATTTCATTTCGTTGTATCTCACGCGTTCTACCCCCCTTGCTGTCCCCTCTGCATACCCCCCCCTCCCGGGGCCCACCCGAGAAGGTGAAGCGCCTGAAGTCTCTGCTGTCCAAGCTGCAGAAGTCGAGCCACAGCAAGGACGCAGACCTTGCCGCCCTCAAGGCGCCCGCGCCGCCGCCGAAGGCGTTCACCGTGGCCCTCAGGGTGCGCCACGAGGGCAGCACGTGGTGTTTCGTCAAAGCTACACAGGTATGATTGTGTGTGTCGAGCGGGACAGCAGTATTCGGCAGATGTCGTCGCGTGTATGCTGCGTCGAATCGGGACAGTATTATATGTTTCGACAACAGGGGCCGGGGCTCTCGAGCAGGCCGAACATCGTATTCTGTACTGCTGTACTGTGTGTCGCACGTTTTTTTGCGGTAGATGTGGATGTAAATACGTATCGTATCCCCCCCGCCCCCCCCCCTCAACGCGTCACGGCGTTTTTTCGAGATGTCGCCGACACGGGAGGTTGCCGGCTAGACAGTACGCAATCAGTCGACCTTGTCACCCTTGCAGTGGTGGAGCAACCGAGCTTTGAAAATCGTTCGACATTGTCGCCGACGGCAGTGCGGTGTGGCTTTTTGGCCCCCATGGTTGTGCAGCGCCCGGGAAGGAAACTCCTGTCAAAATACTGCGTATGCCATGGAAGGAAGTAGTAGTGACCATGGTCCATGCGCCGGTAAGTACGGCACCAAGCTGCTCCTCCTACGCGTTGGGGAAGGGAGCTACTGCAGTAGCTCGTCCGCTCAATCCGAAGAGAGGTCCAACACTATGTCCCCCGCCTCCCCATAATTATCGCACTTTTTTCGCGGTCCTGAATCCGGTAAGAAAACGAGAGCGCATCCCCTACCGATTTTGGCAGGGTGTGCGAGTGTAATTGCTTGTTACGGGGGGCATTTGCATGATCATGAGATTTTTGCCCCCCCCCCCCCTAACGACTAACGACTACGGCATGCACAACCATGAGTACACCCCCCCCCCTCTCCGTACCGTTCGTCGCCCTTGTTTGTGTGTGGTGGCTGACTGCTGCCTCCCATGCTTCGCAGCGTGCCACAAGCGGAGACGGAGGCAAGGATACCGCTCCAGCGGAGGCAAGCGCAGCGCCCGAACCCGACAAGCAGCAGTGGGTCACTGAGGACAAGGTGAAGAGAGACAGAGAGAGAGAGAGAGAGAGAGAGAGAGAGAGAGAGAGAGAGAGAGAGTGCGACACTCCTCCGGCGAAAAACGGTCGCGCTATTCTACGTAGATACCACCTTCGACCGAACGCCGCTCGCAAGGACTATTCCCTGCCTTTGATGACGCGGTGGCTGCTGACGTGGT